AAAAAAAAAAAAAAAAAAAAAAAAAAAAAAAAAAAGGTTAGCTGCCAAGATTTGAAGCCCTTGGCCTATCAGTGTGAGTGGGGTGCTGGAGTATCCCAGGGTCCCTAACAAAAGATTGAGCACTGGGATGGGGATGTGTGGGGAGCAGAGACACTGTGGGCTGCTCCATTAAGGAAGAAAGACCTTATCGTTGGACTGTTCATCCGGAATCCGTTCAGAGCCTTATGAATGTTCTGTGTGGGCAATACGCACATTTTTCCTGTAGCTCAGCAACATCTTTGATGACTTCTGTATTTTTTAATATTATGATACATGTTTTTAAAATAAAATAACCTTATGTAATGTATAAGGTGGAATAACATAAGCTATTCAAAAAAGAATGTGAGCACTATCATATAATCAACCAGTAATAACCACAGTTTTATTTTGCTGTATTTAGTGTGAGGATTTTTTTTTCTATAAACCCATACACATGCATATATTGTGAACAAGATGCTTTTCTTTGTTTATATCATTTGGGGACTGCTTTTTTATTAATTATAACCTGTTGCTGTATAATTCCAATACAGGGACATCCTGCCAATTATGGATCTCATTATCCACTGATAGGCATTTCGGTTACCAACTTTTTGCTATTAGATACAATGCTGAAACGAATATCCTGATGTATAAAATATTTGTGTACATTCATGAATAACTCATAAAAATAAATTCTTAAATAGAATTTATGGCTCAAGAGTCAGACAAATCTTTAAACTTTTTTATCCTCCCTTGCCAAACTCCCTTTTAAAATGTTCAAATTACTAGGGAGTACATACAGATGACCAACAGGTATATGCAAAAATGCTCAACATCACTAACCATCAGGGAAATGCAAATCAGGACCACTTTGAGGTATCATCTCACCCCAGTTAGACTGGCTATTGTAAAAAGACAGAGAATAACAAATGCTGGCAAGGATGTAGAGAAAGGGGAACTCTTCTGGGCTGCTGGTGGGACTGTAATTAGCACAACCATTACTGAGAACAGCACGGAGGTTCCTCAAACAACTACAGATAGAGATGCCATATGATCCAGCAATCCCACTACTGGGTATATATATCTAAAGAATTGGAAATCATCAGGTCGAAGGGATACCTGTACATCTATGTTTATCACAGCTCTGTGTACAATAGCCAAAATAGCAACCATAAAAAAGAATGAAATTCTGCCATCCGCAACATTGTGGATGAGTCTGGAGAAAATAACGCTAAGTGAGACAATCCAGGTGCAGAAAGAGAAATACTGCATGTCCTCACTCATAAGTTGGAGCTGAATCCATAAATAAACAAATAAACAGTAAAGAGAGAGAGAAAGAAACAACAATCACAATAATGCGCTGCACTTTTAGAAGAAAAGAAAATAACTGTAGTTACTAGAGGTGGGAAAGGGGAGCGAAGGGAAAAAAGAAGGGGGGTTAGTGAGAAATTGGTTAACAGACACAAAGAATGATTATGCATTGTAATGACGACTAAGCTAATTATCTTGATCTGACCATCACATGTACACAAGTACTGAAAGTCAATTTTGTACCCACAAATATGTGTAATAAATTATCTTTAAAATAAAAATAAAAATAAAATGTTCAAATTACTTACATTCATACTAGCTGTTTATTGTAGAGCCCATTTCCCCATTCTGAATCAGCCTATTTAATTGTGATTAGGCCTGCAAGTCATCTCTAGACTCTCCTGTCATTGAAATGAGCAGTCATGTGAAGCTACCTCAACATGAACATACCTAACAGACCCACGTGACTTCATTCTTTCCTGCCAGTTTGATAACTACTGATCACCTTGTTGGACAATTTCTGTCTACAGCTTCCAAGTGTCTCTGAGTTGTTGCCAATGCTATCTAGAGTGCTTGTGCATCACGCAGGGGCTACCTGTCACCTGCTTCATACCTGCTTAATGTTATGGACCACCTACCTTGGTAGGAAATAGGATTCACTCCCCAATAACTGCAGTAGTCCCTCTGAAATTTTATATGGGCTTTCAGTCTGGAAACGGCTCCCTAATATTCCAGACCCACTCGACAGAGACTGCAAACCTTCTTGCCATCCTGAAATCAAGAAGACCAGGCTACTGGAAAAATATGAACAGAGGACTGGGAATCTGGAAAACTGGGCTCAGGTGTGATTCAAAAACAATTTCTGATTAATCTTAATTAATTTTGTCCTATTTTCTGAATATCAGTTTCCTCATCTTGCAGGAACTGTGTACTAAGTGCTCTTTAATTCTCCTTTCATCCCAGACATTTCATAGCTTAACAACCTGCTCTTCACCAAATTTGTTGCTGATTATTTACCTAAACTTGGTTAATTACTCCTTTTCCTCTCAATCCCTTTCAATCCTTGCTTAAAATTCACCTCTTTTTTAAACCACTCGATAGATAGGTTTCTGAGGGTTACTTTGTGAGAGACACTACTGGAAGCGTCTGCGTGTGGGTGTGTGGTTGTGTACGTGTTTGTATGAGAAGGGTGTGAATATCATATCTCCCAGAGAAGGCTGCAAATTCTGCAAAGGGAAGCAGTGTGCACTGTATGTCCTCTTCTCTTTCTTCTTGGTACAGTTTTAGGCCTCTCTGCACACAGTAGCTACTCAACAAAAGATAACATTGCCTGAACTAATTAGGTGGAGCTTGTGTGGGTGATTATGTGAGTATGTGGCTATTTCCAATCAAAGTGCCCCTTTGTGAGTGTGTGTATCGGGCGCGTATGCATGTATTGGGGTATGTGGAAGGTAAAAAAATGAAGAAAAACAGGCTATCAAGTTGAAATACAGTAGTAAGGTTTTCTTAGAATAGACAGAAGACCTGTAGAGAGGATATTCAGGTTCAGGGGAGGCTTGGAGCAGGCACCATGGAACTCAGGCATGACTCAATCCAGTGCAAGAGGAGACCCTTGCTCCAGATGTGGCTGCCCAAAGTCACAGCCTCTGGATACAATTTCACAATATCCATTGCCATTCCAGGAATGGCCCCTAAGTGTACATTTGCACCCTCAGAGAAACACACAGTGCCAGGATTAGATAGGTGACATCTACCCCAACTCCTCTCTGTCTGTGAGTCCTGGCTCACCATGGGACAGCAAAGGGGGAAGTTTCAGCCAATAACACACACAGCCAAGAGTTGAGCTAAAAGTGATTTAATGGAGGCAGAACAGGAAAGATGCACATTTCCTCCCATCCGGAATCCCTCTTCAAATGAACCTAAAGCAACTGAAGACCAGCAAAGTCACTAAGACCTTCTGTTTAATTCAGAGGATCAGGGACTTTTCAGAGTATGCATAAGGGAAAGCTTCACAGTACATAATTTTAGGATACAAATAAGAGAGAGACTATGACTCAGGGTGACAACATACTAATTACAAGATCTGCAAACAATTAAGACACAGAAGCAGATGAGACGAGGGTATTCAGCATCCGTGGTCGGCTTCTCAAGGGCATGGCTGTAGGCCATACTACTTCTGCTTGGTCTTCTGCTGAGGTGAGCCTGGAGTGACTGTTGAGGGGAATGGCTCTGGTACCTTGGTGTAGCCTGTCTCTGGAATGTTGGTATAGCCCGGCTCAGGGACTTTGGTGCAGCCCGGCTCAGGGACCTTGGGGTAGCCTGACTCAGGCAACTTGATGTAGCCTGACTCAGGCACGTTGGTGTAGGATGACTCTGGAACTTTGGTATAGCCCGGCTCAGGGACGTTGGTGCAGCCTGACTCAGGGACCTTGGTGCAGCCTGACTCAGGGACCTTGGGGTAGCCTGACTCAGGGACCTTGGTGTAGCCTGGCTCAGGGACCTTGGTGTGGCCTGACTCAGGGACCTTGGTGTAGCCTGGCTCAGGGACCTTGGTGTGGCCTGACTCAGGGACCTTGAAGTAGCCTGGCTCAGGGACTGCAGTGTAGCCTGACTCAGGCACCGTGGAATAGACTGGCTCTGGAATCTTGGTGTTTCCAGGTTGTGGATCCTGGGAATGGCATGTCTCCTTGGTTACAGGAACAAATGGTTCCTGAGGTGGAGGCTGGCTGGGTTGCTTCACCTGCTGCTGCTGAAGCTGCGGGGGTGGAGTGAAGGGCTGCTTCTGCTGGTAGGAACTCATGCTTCAAAGGATGCTGGACCTAGAGACAGAGAAGCTGACTCAGTGGTTTAGACAAACAAAGAAGCCCAGTTTCATGACAAATATCCCTCATTTCATGCCTCTTCAGAAATAAGAGCCTCGCTTTTCTTTCTTTCTTTTTCCCAGAATTTGAGATTATTGGACACTTTGATTATCCCTGCACACTTTCAAGGGGAGATGGTAGAAGTCGATTTGTTCTGTGCCATGTGAGTGGAGCCCTTCTCTACGCTTCTTTTCTTCCTGGCTCATCTAAAAACCTGCACACAATGCAAACATACAAGGTGAAGAACACAACAGCAGCTTCCTCAGACTGATGTAAGGTCCCAGATTTGCAACAATTTGGGAAGGTGATAGAGTCAATATTCCGAAGTCTACCCACTCAAGACCACCTTACTGACATGCCTTAGCTTTCAAAGGAGCTCTATATCAACCTCCCCCGGTGGCCCCCATAATCCACCTCTGAGTCTTTGTTCACATCCTCCTCCTGCTGATGCTTCTAGAAGACTTTCCACTCCATCCCTGCTTGTCCTCACAAGCTCATGTGTCATTGTTCTCCTCGATGCTTTCTGCTAGAGTTCAGTCACCTCCTCATTTTGCCACAGCATGTTATCTGCTTCCTTTTTCTACTAATCACTTTCCATGCTGTATGTTCACAAATTATGAGCATACTTTCATGGAGTAAAAGAAAACTTATCTTTTGAACTTCTAAATTGCTAGTGCAGTATCTTCTAGATTTCAAATTCTCTATAAATATTAGAGGGAGAATGAAAACGTCACTAAAAGTGCCCTTGGATGGGCATATGCTCCTGTTAACAAATCTTTGCAGAAATCACTCCCTCTTTCTGACCCCAAGTTCCGCAGCTGTAATCGGAGTGGAAAGTCAAAAGATTTATAGTCACCTTAAACAAAAGTTGCCATTGCATTTAAAATAAATATGTCTTTAGTGCGGCAAAGAGATCCCAATCAATATAAAGAAAAGGGATGGAAGAATATTAAGAAATTTCAAGTGGGGAGACTCACCCGGTTTGCAGAGAAGTTTAAGCTTTCTGGCCTCGGAGTCTGGTGAGAAGTGTATGGCCACCTGGAATTTTATACAGAAAATGAGCCCAGCCTTAAGGAAGTGGAATTATTTGGGGCTGCTCTACCTTCATTCCAGCTACATTACAACTTTTGTGATGAAAATCTCTGGCTTAACATTTTTTGGCACTTATTGTCTGACAATGAAGTCACCTGGGCCCAACCCCACTGTCCACCTTTGTGGTGTGGTTGCTGTGGGCAGCACACTTCTCGGGTGGTAATGGATTAAATCAGGAGGAAGTTCTGGCCTGCTGGGACCAGAAGCAACCATGTCTCTTGGCCAAGGCCCTAATGTTTAGTCCAGATTGGTGGTATTGGACGTGTTAGTATTTGAGGTGGATGTGTAGATAGCAATAGGCATTTCTGGTTCTTCTGGGAGGCCACAAGGATAGTGCAGATTAAGTGAATCATTTCTTTTTCAGTCTCTCAGTGGACTCAGGCCTGGGAAGAGGAATGAAAGGATAAAATGCTTGCTTTGGAAATGAGTTATCTTCACCCTGGAGGGAGGCTTAAGATGCTGTATTGACCAGGGTTAGGAGATATCATTGGGGATGAATAGTCAGGACTGGTGAGATCTGTCTGACATGACTGTGCAGCCCAGAAGACCCTGCCTCCCATGGTGTTTTGTCTTCTTTGGGGGTGACACAGGAACAAGGGAGCTTGAATTCCCTGAGTTCATACAGCAGTCCATTCCTCTGATTACAATGGGATGAACCTGAGGTCACTAACCCAGAGTTGCCCTCGATACACAATCTCTTACTGGGTGTGGCCCTTGAAAAATCCAGATATCCCTGAAACTCAGGTGTGTGGATAGCTCCTCCCTTCCCATTGCTCCACCACTCTTACCTTCCATGAACCTGATACCCCGGGCACAGATCAACCAGCAGCTCCTTCCACCTGTTCCCCAAAGCTGGCAGTTGTACTTTATCTGCACACACTGCCTGGTTATTGTGGGTGCTCAGTCAGTGGGAAGTTATTGGTTTTGTGATTAGATCTGTAAGTTCATGGAAGGGAGGAATTCAGAAAGGAAGGAATGAAGGAGGAAGAAATAACAGAAACAGAGAGAAAGAAAAGGAGGAGGAGGAAGGGAGAGAAAAGGAGAAGAGAAGACAAATTAAGAGAAAGAAAAGTACTTTAGAGAGATGTAGAGAAACTGCTTTGAGAACCATAGAGCTCTTTCTTGAACGTGATTCACTGTCTGTGAGAAGCCTCGTGGGGGGAGCTGAGAAGAGGGTGAGGGTTCATCAGGAGCGGACACTCCCGCTGCCTTCCCTACCCATCTCCTCCCCTCTCTGCTAGCCTTTGACCAGCCTCCTCCCTCCGGGTGGTTTCAGGGCCACTGCCACGCCTATGCTCTAGTCTCTGGTATCACATTAGCCGGTATCACATTAGCTCTCTTTTATTGTTGGGTTCAGGTTTCTCTTCTCACCAAAACCCTCTCCTAGAAGCCCCTGCCACAGGGAGCTCTGTCCAGACCCTGCTGCTCCACGTGGGATTCTTATTTCTAGAGGAACCTGCTTCCTCCTCCTCTGTATGAGTCTGGATCTGTCTTATGGTCTCCCTCGATTCTGGATCTTGGTTCTAGAAGAGATTCCTTTCTCATTTCCTGTGTTTCTTCCCTGGATGGGCTCTCTCCTGCCCTTCCCTGGCCTCACCTTCTTGAACGTCTAATTTTACCCCAACCCTGCTTTTCCTGTTTGTTTGGCCAAGCAAACCCAGTGGCTGAGTGTCAAGGCTTTTCTGCCCTTCAGAGAAGCCCCGTTTCTTCATTGACAGTGTTTGGTGTGCTGTTGAATCTGGCCTCAGTGTCAGAGAGGGTGAACTGAGTGGCTTCTAATGGTCAGTCCCACCTCCCTAGGAACTCTGGTCTTTCCCACTGGCTCCCTTCTCCAGTGGCAGGGGACTGCTACTCTTCCAAGTTCATTATCCTGGGACTTTGGGGACCTATTTGTGTATGGTACTGGGTACCTCTCAGGCACTTTCTAAATATTCTGGATCTTGTTCTTTTGCCTGTCATGACCATGTGTTTCATTCCCACACATTGTCTGGGACTCTGCCTATCTTTTTCTCTTTTTTTAAATTTTTATTTTACTTGATCAATATACAATGTAGTTGATTTTACCAATTCCTCCTTCCTCCCTCCCTCTCCCCCTCCCCCATCAACATCATATCTGTTCACTTGTCTTAACAAGTTCAAGTTCAAGGAATTGTGATTGCTGTGTCTTCTTCCCCCCCAACCCCATTTATTTGTTTGTATGTTTATTTATTTATTTATTTTTAGCTCCCACAAATAAGTGAGAACATGTGGCATTTCTCTTTCTGTGCCTGGCTTATTTCAATTAATATAATTTTCTCTAAGTCCATCCATGTTGCTGTGAATGGCAGTATTTCATTTTTCTTTTTGTATTGAAGAGTAGTATTCCATTGTGTAGATACACCACATTTCCTTATCCACTCATCTGATGATGGGCATTTGGGCTGGTTCCAACTCGTGGCTATTGTAAATAGTGCTGCAATAAAACAAGGGAGTACAGGTATTCCTTTGACATGATGATTTACATTCCTCTGGGTATATACCCAGCAGTGGAATAGCTGGGTCATATGGTAGATCTATCTGTAATTCTTTGAGGAACTCCATGCCATTTTCCATAAAGGCTGCACAATTTTGCAGTCCCACAAACAGTATAGGTAGGTTCCTTTATCTCCTCAATCTCGCCAGCATTGATCATTCTGTCTTTTGGATGTTAACCAAAAGAGTGAGATGGTAACTAAAGTGGAGTGAGATGGTATCTAAAAGTGGTTTTGATTTGCGTTTCCAAATGCTGAGTGATTTGAGCATTTTTTCATGTGTCTGTTGGCCATTCATGTATCTTCCATTGAGAAATGACTATTCAGCTCCTTTGCCCATTTTTAATTGGGTTACTTGTTTTTTCACTGTTAAGTTGTATGAGTCCTTGTATATTCTGGATATTAATCCTCTGTCAGATATATATTTTGCAAATATTTTCTCCCACTCTGTTGGTTTTCTTTTTGCTCTGTTAATTGTTTCTTCTGCTGTGCAGAAGCTTTTTAGTTTGATATAATCCAATTTCTTTATTTTTCCTTTGGTTGCCTGTACTTTGGGGGTGATATTCATGAAGTCTGTATCCAATCCTACTTCCTGGAGTGTTTCCCCTATGTTTTCTTTAAGGAATTTTATTGTTTCAGGATGTATATTTAATTCTTTAATCCATTTTGAATTGACTTTGGTATACAGTGAGAGGTACAAGACTAATTTCATTTGCCTAAATATGAATATCCAGTTTTCTGAGCAGCATTTTCTGAAGAGGGAGTCTTTTCCTCAATGTGTAGTCTTGGTGCCTTTGCCAAAGATCAAATGACTGTAGGTGTATGGGTTGACTTCTGCTGTCTGGATTCTCTATTCTTTTCCATTGGTCTGTGTGTCTATTTTTATGCCAGTGCCATGATGTTTTGGTTACTATAGCTTTATAGTATAGTTTAAAATCAGGTAGTGTTATGCCTGCAGCTTTACTTTTTTCTTTGCTCAGAATTGCTTTCACTATTCATGGTCTTTTGTTATTCCATATGAATGTTAGGATTGTTTTTTCCATTTCTGAGGAAAATGTCATTGGAATTTTGATGGGGATTGCATTGAATCTGTAGATCACTTTTGGTAGTATGGACATTTTCATAATGTTAATTCTTCCGATCAAAGAGCATGCAATATCTTTCCATCTTCTTGTGTCCTCTTTAATTTCTCTTGATAGTGGTTTGTAGTTCTCATTGTAGAGATTTTTCAAATCCTTGGTTATCTTTATTCCTAGGTATTTTATTTTTCTGGTGACTATTTTAAATGGGCTAGCTTTCTTGATTTCTTTTTCTGCTAGTTCATTGCTGGAGTATAG